AATAATGTTCTTTTTAGCAACATCATATGACCCCTTTAATGCACTTCCAACCCTACAACCCAGATATGAACCCTGACTGTGCTTCTGAACAAGGTACTTACTCTAGAGAAACTGTCTTGTAAAATGTCTGTTGATCTTGGAGAAGTTTTGGACTTTTGGGTAATAAACTCATGCGTACCTGTTCCCCAAAGTCTTTGGCAGTGCTGGAGGTGAGTGGGGCATTGGCCATTATAGCAGTAACCCTGGCCAGAGCTGCAAGGTATGCCATTCATCTTAAAATCATTCTCTGGGCAGTGCTCTGAGAGCCCTGTGCAGTACTCTGGAATGTCACACTCATTTTCAGGTGCTCGACACAAGCTTTCAGCATCTTTTATCTACCATGGCAAGAGAGAAAATAGAAGCTGGAAATAACAAAAAAGTGTCAACCACAAACTTATCTAGAGTTACTGTTAACACTACATAGTAATGACTTCAAAATGAGGCCATGCAAAGGTTGCTGGTTCAGGTTCCACCAGTGTTGTAACTTTGGGCAACTTGATTGTCCCCCCCCCTCCCCTCATAAAACAAACAAACAACAACAGACGTTTGCATGACATTTATGCCACCCACACAATATATAACAAGTCAAGTCCAGCAGTTGAGTCTGATTTACAGATCCTTGTTTCAAATGTCAGTGGTGCTCTCCTGGCTCACTCTAGGAAAGCAGGCCCAAATATTGCTTCAACATTTCAAACAAGGCTTCTATTCTGCTGGGACTCAAGGAAGTCTCTTTCTTTGGCCCCGTGTTTATTCCCAGAGTTTTGGACATACAAAAGCCTCGAGGAAAAACCATCAAATGTCCAAATCACTCTGTGGTCCATTGGATAGCATATTGAGGGTTTGTGTCCCACCAGGAATTTCTTTGACACCCTTACTCCACCCAAAAATACATCTAGAAAAGAGTCCTGCATGACATTTGCAAACTCTTATAAGCTCTTCAACAACCTTTTTAAAGCCTTCCTTGATTTTTTGCTCTTCTGAGTAACCCTTCCTTGGCTTCCATGGCCATAGTCTCAGCCTCAGACGTCATGCCCATGGACTGTTGGCTGAACGTCTGATGCATATGGCACACTTTACTGGAAACACTTCAGGAATTTTGAAG